ACTTGGGAATTGTGAAATGAAAAACCATAGAGACAGTGATTGGAAAAGAGAAAAAATGAATAAACGCACTATAAAGAACTCATTCATGTCAATTTCTCCATTTTTATTCAGATCCACTTCATTTAAAATCTCATGCAAGAGACGTTCATCAATCTTCTCACCATGCGCCTAAATACATTTGGTAGGATTTTGAGCTATTTGTGTCTACACAGTCAGTATTTCTCAGACTGTTTGTTGAAAAAAGTAATGTAGATCATAATTCTACCAAAAACACCAGCAGCCAAGTTTCAACTGCTTACTAATCAAAAGATATCAGCCCCAGTTAACAAACCCTGAAATGGTTGCGTAGGTCATTGAGGGTTATGTGGCCTTTATTGTCCCTATCAAGCAAGTTGAAACGCTGTTTCGCAGCCGTCATCTCTTCCATTGTCAAGCTCAGTGGGGCTTCAGAAACAGACTGCATGCGTGCATTCTGGCCCATCTCGACATTGATAAATTTCCGGGCCTCAGCAATTTGTCGCTGAAAAATTTAAGTAAAGCAAAAAAAATTTGAGACCTTCAATCTAAACAAATTATGGATTACCCAAAAAACCCCTGAAACCAAGTTTACATTGATTGATATCTCGCAAACCGCGACGTTCTACTCGTCGTCCCAGTTACATATAAAAACTAACTTACTTCATTCCAATTTGGTCACACTCTTATTTTTTATTCCTCATATTTCAAAGATCTTCCGGAATCTCTTTTTAATTTGGAAAAGTAATATAACTCACTTTAACAACAAACTTTTTTGTAAGACTGAAAACTACGCAGACAAAGATAAAATGGCCTACAGTTCCAGCCAGTGATCCCCTAAGAACTGACAATGGTAGAATTTTAAACGAGGATTATGTGCCCCATCTACCTTCAGAAGACTACGGTTTTTAGGACAACTCATTGTTAGGTTACCAGCAAGAAGCACGCTGTTGTCAAAGAGTAAGAAAATCTTTTTGTGATTTCTCCAATCATTGCAATTGCTGCTTTTTTAAACCAAAATAGCGAATTTCCTGCTTTGCTGACTTATATTCAAAAAATATGCAAGGTTAGAGCAAAGTTACCTCTTTATACGGTTGAAGAACTTTTTTATTTAAAAAACCAACAAAACAAATGCATACTAATTAATACATGAAAGAAAACTGTGAAAACTTACATCGCATTCCTTTTTATCCCATCCCAATTCCTGTGCCATAATTTCCACAACATTTTCCAGAACTTCATCAGCAGCATAAGTATTTAGGAAAGCTAGTCGAAGCCGACGAGCGATAACATCTATTGCGGTACAGGCATACTCGCGGACTGCGTACCTAACCTAAACATGGACAAACCATTAATGTAAAAAAAATTGTTTTTCAACTTCCTGTATTTGTTCTATGTAGAAGTGTATATTTACACAAAAAAAAAGTACAGTAAAAACGCGCATTTTCACTCCTTCATCAAAGG